GCATGTGCGACTGACTCGTGTGCTGTGCTGCACTGCACTCTCCTCCCTCCATCACTCTACCTTCACGTTCGCCCATGCACCCCCACGTCTCACTCGCCCATGCACCCTTCCCCAACCACTCTCGTGCTGCCTTGACTCACCCACTCGTACCACCCCCACCCCCACTGCTTGCCATGCAGCACGTGGCGAGGCGGCGAGTGTTGGCGCGGCGGCGCAACGAGAGGGAGCAGCGCGCGCCCGCAGCAAGGAAGACCGCCCACTCCGCTGCCGCTGCTGCCACTGCCGCCCGCCCCGCCACCACCCACCCGCCCCCGCACACTCTCTCCCACTCGCACTCGCACTGCGCTACCCTCGCGTCCTCCTCGCCCACTGTGGCCTCCGCGCCCCCTCCTCTGCTGCGCCACTCCCTCATCGCCTCCCCCTCCGTGCACCCCCCCTCCCCCTCCGTCTCCTCGCTCCACGCCGCCACCTTCCCGCGCTCTGTCCCCACGCCCTCCTCGCTCCCCGCGCTGCCCTGCTTCCCCGCGCCCGCGCCCGCGCCCGCCCTGCCCGCTGCGTGCATGCGCCCCCCCCACGTGCCCGCTGCGTTCCTCTCTCCGCCACTGCCCGCCTCGCCTGCCGCCTTCGCCCTGCTCCGCCCCCACGCGCCCCCTGCTGCCCTGCTGGCGCGCGGCCTGGGGGAGGGGCAGCAGCAACAACAGCAAGAGCAGCAGCAGCAGCAGCGGGTGCTGGGGCGGCAGATGCTGCTGTACCATCAGCAGCAGTTGCAGCAGGGGGTGAGTGAGCAGCAGCAGCAGCAGCAGCAGGCGCGGCAGCATCAGAATGTGGCGCAGAAGCAGCGGGTGGTGCAGCAGGAGCAGCAGGAAGGGAGGCACGAGGTGGAGGCAGCACGGCTTGGCATTGCCGGTGGGAGCAACAGCTATCACATGAGCCTCACTGCCGGCAGCATGGCAGGCAGCATGGCAGGCAGCATGGCAGGCGGCATGGCAGGCAGCATGGCAGGCAGCATGGCGGGCAGTATGATGGGCGGTGCAACGCACTTGCTTCCAACCAACCTTGCAGCCCGGCAGGCCACAGTGTTGCTCCGCCCCCCTCCCCCGCCCCCACCCAAGTGGCCTACCTCTGTGCGTGCCTCACTCGTCCCACTGCCATCCCACGTGCCTCTCGCGTCGTCCACCCATGCATCCACCTCTACTGCACCCCTCTCCACCTGCCCCTCCTCCTCTCTTGCCTCCACCCGCCTCTCACCCCGCGCCCTGCAACCCCCGTCCCCTGCTGCACCGGCAGCTGCTGCAACGCCAGCTCTAGCGGCATCGGCCCTGACTGCTGTGGCTGCCGCTACCGCTGCTGGCAGTGCAGGCCCAGCGGCAGCAGGAGGGGCAGGCGGGGCGTGTGTGATGACGCCAGCGGAGAAGATAGAGAAGCTGCGGCGGCGGCAGCAGATGAAGGCAGCTCAGATGAAGGCAGCCCAGGTGCAGCTGGCGTTAGAACAGCGGAAGCTGGCTCGCCTGCACCACCTGCATGGCGCCCACCACCCCCACCACCTGCACGCCGCTCAGCACCTAACTCACCTTCACCACCTCCACCAGCTGCAGTTGCAGCAGCAGGTGGAGGTGCAGCAGCAAGTGCGGGCACAGGCGGCATGCAGTGCGGCACAGCACAGTGCTGCCATTGCACCCTCCGTTCTGCACCACCCCCCACCCACCACCTCAGTACCGATGGCAGCAACAGCAGCAGCAGGCTCAAATGAAGCAGCGGCAGCAGCAGTGGGCGCTACGGATGTGCGTGGTGGTGCTGGCAGTGCCACCACTGCAGGAACGCGCCCCCAGGCGTGGGCCCCGCCTGACCTGGCAGCGACTCGGCCTCTGGCCGTGGTGCTCAGCTCCAGCAACCTCGAAAGATTCGCCACGTCAGCTTCCACGTCAGCTGCTGTAGGGGCAGGGCGAGATGGTAGCGGCGTGGTGGCATGGTGTGGGGCGGGCGGAGGGCAGGGCGGGTGTGCAGTGCGCAGGGGCGAGAAGGAAGGGAGCGCGGAGAGGGCGGGTGGAGCGGAAGGAGGAGGGGGTGGGGAGGGCGGGGAGGCTTCAGGCAGAGCGGAGGGGGGCGGCAGCAAGAGAGAGGAGGGTGACGGGGAGGAGGGATCGGTGGAGCGTGTGGTGCTGGGGCAGCTGGGCGACACCATGAGCAAGGTGAGTGGCAAGAGCGTTTGGCAGGCAACAAGTGGTGGGAGAGCAAGCAATGCGTTTTTGTGGTTGTGGCATCATGGCCTGTTGCCCCTCTGCTCGCTCATCATGGCCTGCTGCCCCTCTGCTCGCTCATCATGGCCTGCTGCCCCTCTGCTCGCTCACCACTACTCCTCCCTTCCCCTTCTCTTCCTGCCCTTCTCCCTCCCCACCCCCCAATGCAGTTGGACGTGGCCACCAGGCTGCTCATCCGCGATGCCTTACTGCGTCTCGCCCACAGCGCCTCCCACCGCACCGCCGCTCCCCCCTCCCCGCCCAGCCCCGTGCTGCCTCCTCACTCGCCTTCCACCCACTCCGCCCTCTCCTCCCACACCCACTCCCTCTCCCTCACATCCCCCTCACTTCGACCACACTTTTCTGAGCCTACACCTGTTGCCAACCGCCGAGCCTCATGCACAGCGTCGGAGGCGTCGGTGGCACGGAACAGCTGTGGTGGGCGGCACTCCGCGGTGGACGCCCATGCCGCTCCGTGAGTTGCCCATGCCATGTCCCCCTCTCACTCTCTCATCTCACTCTCCTCTGCTCTAGCCTCCCGTTCACTTCCCCTTGCAACTTTCTTCCCTCGCCTTATTCCGTTCCCTTTCCCTCTGTCCCTCCCCCTGCCCCTGTGTTGTGGCAGTGAGAGCACAGGGGAGGCGGGCACCAACGCACTGGACAGGGCCATTGCCAATCTGCTCTTCCACCGCCCCTCGCCCCCCGCCACTGCCCTGCCTGCCACTGCCACACCTGCTGCCAGTGGACTGCCCACCATGCCTCGTGGTGCTACCGCTTCAGGGGGCGTGCAGGGAGGTGCACGAGAGGCGGTGGGGGGAGGGCGGGGGAATGGGGAAGGGCTGTGTGCTGCACCTGCTGCCACTGCTGCCGCGCCCTGTGCTGCCATGTCCACCCCACACTCTCACAGCGCCTTCTCACCCCGCCCTTCCCCCATGCACATCTCCTCGCCCCCCTCCCCCTCAGCCCCCTCGCCTTCCCCCCAAAGGCATTCTCTGTGCTCGCCCATCGCCACCACCTCCTCCTCTGCCCCGCTCTCTCCCTCTCCCACTCCTGCGCCTCCCCCATCCCCACCACCCCCTCCACCCCCACCACCACCACTACCACCACCACTAGGGATACCACCACCACCCTTCGTCCCCTCCCTGCTGGCTCCACGTCCCTCTCTTCCCAGCAGCAGCACCACCACCACCACCAACAACAGCAGCAGCAGCTTGCCACGCTGATGTGGCAGCCCCGCGGTTTGCCACCTGGCACACGCTGGTTACCAAGTCTAGCCAGGGCTGCTCCGGACGTCCTTATGGAAGGCTCGGAGGCAGGTCTGGCCGAGGCTGGGGGCAAGCTGGGCATGGGTGAAAGTGGAGGCATGCAGGGTGGAGGAGCAGGGCGGCAGGTTGCTGGTGGGGAGATGGGGGCGGCAGGAGATATTCCAGATGGCGCCTGGCGGTGTCTCTCAGGTGCTGCTTCAGGTGTGTCTGAGGCATCGCTGCCATCCAGGCTTCCAGCCCTGCCTCCCACTCTCTCAGCGTCATCAGGGCGGCCAGGTGGCATACTGCCATTGGTGCGTGGAGCGGGGGACGGCAGCAGTGGCGGCAGCAGCAGGGAGGCGCAGCAGGCTTTCAGTGAGATGCTGTGCCGCCAGCAGCAGCAGCAGCAGCAGCAGCCGCCCTTCCAGGGCGCACACACGGGAGCAGGGCAGCACTCTGCCATGCACGCGGTGCTGGGAGGAGGTGCTGCCATGGGCGTGGGCATGGGCATGGGCATGGGCATGGGTACGGACATGGGAACGAGTATGGGCATGGATATGGGCATGGGCATGGGTGTGAGGATGGGTGGGACAGCAGATGGTAGCATGCAGATGGGGGTGGAGGGCAGTGTGGGCGTGACGGGGTCCGGCATGGCGGGCATGACAGGCATGGCAGGAGAGGCAAGGGGAAGAATGGGGGGGGAGGTGTGGGGGGGTAAGGGAGGGGGAACATGGGGGACTGCAGCGGGGGACATTCGAGACAGTGGTAAGGGGAGAGGGGCAGAGCAATGGGAGTGCTTAGGTGGACTGGGGCAGGGGTGTGGGGGTATATGGGGGGAGGGTAGTGGGGGAGGAGGCATGGAAGCAGATGTGGGGGGGGAGTTGGGAGCGGTGGTGAGAGGTGGAGTATCTGTGGCTGTTGCATCACCCTGGATGGCAACTGCTGGTCGGGCTGCACTGCAGCAACAGCAGCAACAGCAGCAACAACAGCAACCACCACAGTACAGTGTGGGATTGGTGGGGCGAGGGGAAGAAGGCACAAGTGTCCGAGGGGAATAGTGGGTGGTACATGTGCCGCATATCCGTGCCTGGCTGCGAGGGCCTGCTCACCCCTTATATGGTGTTCATATCATGTGCTTTGATTTGCGTAAGCCCAACAGCATAGCCTAGTGTGCTCAGCTGCTGCTGATAATACATATGGGTGCTTTGTACCGTACCCTGCTATACTATGTGCACAATTGTGTCCGTGTGCTAGAGCCAATGTCTAGTGTTATGGTGGTTTCAGAACATGAATGGTTGAGACGTTCAGACAAGCAGGGCATGAACGCCATTCATGAACTCATTGGGGTGTGAGTAAGCTCAGCAGTGGGGCCTGAGTATACTGTAAGAACCACGTCTTGTTGTTGAATCAAAGAGTTGAGCGGTTCTTGCACGCCAGCCACCGGGTATGTACACGGCACACATCACAGCACTGCTTCCGACACGGCATGCGCATGCGGTATGGTGAGAGAGCACGGCAGCTAGAGCGAGGTGAAGGGCAGTGAGGAGGCATCTGGGAATGTGTGGTCGAGGAGGGCGTAGGTGCCGGAGGCGAGCAGCAGGGCGCCACTGGCGGGGTTGATCCACAGCGCGTGCTGCCTGAGTGCCAGCAGGCGCTTGAGCGCGCCTGTGAAGGCGGCTGCCAGCATGAGCGGCGACACGAAGCCCAGCGTGTACACCAGCAGCAGCGCTCCCCCCAACACCGCGTCCTGCCATGGCATGGGGGGGATAGCATGGAGAGGGGGTGAAGTGAGGGGCACGGTAGCAGGAGTGAGACAGAGAGGTCCAGTCCAGGGACAAGGAGGGATAAAGGCGGTGCTCCTCAACAAGCGTGCACCACGGTGGTGCTGCGCACACGTCTGCGATGCAGCAGGGGGAAAGCAGCTGTACAAGTGGTGAGAAGGAGCAGTAGTAACATCCATCCACCCCTCCATCGCTGCACTCACCCCGGTGGTCGCCACGTAGGCCAGCAGTGACGCCAGCACAGGCGTGGCACACGGCGACGCCACGAAGGCAAAGGCGGCGCCCGCGAGGAGCATCTGCACGGCACTGGGGAGGCGCGCCGCCGCCTGCTTGGCGTCGAAGCCGCCGAACGCGGAGGGGAGGCGGAGGGGCAGCAGGCCGAGCAGGTTGAGTCCCATGGCCACCGCCACGCCCCCCGCCACCACCGGCAGCACCCCCGCCACCGCGTCCCCTGCGCCGCCCCCCGCCGCCTGCCCGTACGCTCGCCCCGCGAGCGCCGCCGCGACGCCCATGGCGGCGCGCGTGGCGGCGAGGCCGAGCGCGAAGCAGGCGGCGTCAGCGGCGATGAGGGCGCGCGGCTTGGCGGATTGGAAGCCGGCGATGTAGCCGACGGTGAGCGGCAGCACGGAGAGCGTGCACGGCGTCAGCGACGTCGCCACGCCCGCCGCGAACAGCACGGCGACGCTCGCGGGCGACAGCGACGCGAGCTCCAGCGACACGAGGCGGTCCGACAGGTGCGCCGCGGCGAAGAGCGCGTCGTCGACGGCGTCCCACGCCGCGGAGAGGTCCAGCGCCGCTAGGGGGAGCGCGGGGAGGGGCAGCGCGGGGAGGGGCAGCGCGGCGACGGCGGATGCGGCGAGCGGGGCAGGCAAAGGGGGAAGCAGGGATGCGGCCACGGCGGGAGGCGTCAAGGCGGAGAAGGTGAGGGCGATGGCGGAAGGGGGGAGAGCGAGGGAGAGGAAGGCAGCGAACGATGCGGGAGGAAGGAGAGGCGCGGCCGAGGAAAGAGGCTGCGCGCCCTCGCTGCCATCATCGTCATGCGCGCCTGCCGCGCGGCCGCCTGGAAGGGCAACGGAAGCGCGCGCGCTACTTTCTGGCTCGCGCCCTTGCGCGTTCTCCCCACATAGCCGTGTGGCTCCGTCGGCCGGCGCTGCAGCGGAGATCGCGCGGGCGGCTGCGAGGCAAATGCGCGAGCGGCGCGAGATCAGCCTTCTGGAGGAGGCGCCGGCGGGGCCAGCGGAGAGCGCGACGCGCGGCACGGGTGAGGAGGTGCAGCGGTAGCGGCCGGCCAGCGCGGTGTCTGCAGCGAGAGGGACGCTGCGAGGCGCGGCGACTGCCATGCGCGACGTGCGGGTGGAATGCGGCGTGGTTTGGGGCTGGACGCGTGGCAGGACAGAGTGGCGGAGTCCTGTGGTGTAAAACTGCCCACGCAATGACGCTGAGAAGCCTCAGAAGGTCCTGACCCTGAGATGTGTACATCTGAAGAAGGTTAGCGTGTATACGTGTATACATCTGAGATGTGTATCCTCCTACACAAGAGGATGCCTGCTTATGGGGTACAAGTGCTGCTGTTTTCCGCTTCAACACACACAACAGCTCAACACTCGGAGCCGAGCTGAGAATTGAGAATCTCAACCTGCGGTGTCGCTCTGCATCAGATCCGTGCCTCTCGATCACTGCCAAGTGATTTATCGCAATCTAGATTCTTCCGATCTAACGCGCTTTCACCGAGAGCTTTGCGCTCTTTGTTTGCGGCGCGCACGCGGGGAAGCATGGCGCGCGAGGTGCAGATGGCGGACGGTGGCGACGACCCCAAGGCGACGCCCGAGGGAGGGGCGGGCGACGGGCGCGATGCGAAAGGCGAAGGGCAAACCAACGCGCCGCAGACGCCGCAGCAAGTTCTGGCAGGTGGGCGGCGCACAGGGTGCATCAGGACGGGTGGGATTCGCGGACAGGGGCGTGCGCGGCTTGTGTGAGAATGGATGATTGACCTTGTTCTTCCGCCAGTTGTGCGTGTGGCTGCTGCACGCCTTGACCAGCATCCGTCCATGTCGGATCGCACTCGCCCGTTTTAAATTTCACCCATCCGCGTCAAATCTGGCCCGTACATCTTCTGCTTTGCTTCGCTGCTTACTCTCACCCGATCTTCTTGAATGCTTCCGCCGCTCCCCTCCCCTCTCCTGCGCCCCTCCCGCGGTCGTGGTGGGCGCAGAGCTGCAGGCGCAGCGGCCGCTGGTGGAGCGCGCAGTGGTCACGCGCGAGGTGCGCGTGATGGCGCGCGCCGTGCGTGCCATGCTGGCGCTGCGCAGGCGGCTGACGGGCGGCGTCGTGCGCGCGTTCGTGCGCGCTAACGTGCACAGCGAGGCGGACGCGCATTCCACGCTGCTGGCGCTGCTGGCGCAGGTGAGAGCGGCGCGGGGAGTGTTGCGGGGACTGGGGTGAGGCGCCCGGGGGTGAGGCGGACAGGGGTGGCGGGGAGATGGGGACAGGTGAGTGGGAGACTGCTTCGTGTGAGTTAATCTAGCATGTCCTTAGGTGGTGGTTGCAGCGAAACGAATGATTTGCGCTTCTCCTCCCTGCGTGTTTTGTTGCATGGGGCATGGGGCATGGCATGCGGGGCATGGGGCGTGGGGCGTGGGGCGTGGGGCGTGGGGCGTGGGGCGTGGCAGGTGGACACGGACGAGGACATGGAAGGGGGGCGGACGCCCCCTCGCCTGCACCACCTGCATCCGCGGAAGGCGCGTCCACGTCGGGGGCGGCAGCGGGGGCGGGGGCGGGGGTGGTGCGGGCGACGTGGCTGGCGGAGGTGGAGATGTTCTCCTTCCTCACCGCGCTCGTGCTGCTCATCCACCGCAAGGCCTTCCCCTCGTGCGCCCCGCGCCCCTCCCTCTGCTCTGCTCTGCTCTGCTCTGCTCTGCTCTGCTCTGCTCTGCTCTGCTCTGCTCTGCTCTGCTCTGCTCTGCTATGCCGCCTCAATCACGCCACCAAATGTGCCCCTCACCCGTCCATGCGCCCATGAGTGCAGCGCCCCCCCCCATGCTGGATGTGTGCCGCACATGCATGCATGTGCTACACTCGTGCTCTTGTCCCATGCCCCATGCACCATACCACGTGCACCCGCAACTGCCCCCCCTTCCCCCATCCGTGGTGCAGGCGTGTGAGTGTGCGTGGGCGGCGGTGCGGCGTCTGCAGCAGCTGAACCGGCGCACGTTGGATGTGTTGGGGGCGCGCATCTACTTCTACTTCTCCCTCGCTCACGAGCGCACCACCGCCCTCGCCTCCATCCGCAGGTACCCTCCCTTCCCTCCCCCCTCTCCCACCACCACACACATGCCCTGCCCCATCGTCCAGTCATTGCAGTGTCAACAGTGCCTCTCCCTCTCGCTCTCCTCCCTTTCCTCCACCCTTCACACCTTCGCTTCCTCCCTTGTAGCCCCTGCCCTTCTGCCACCCCCTCTCTCGCATCTCTCCCTCACACCAACCCTCTCCGCCTCTCCCCCCCTCCCCCCGCTGGCAGCACACTGCTGGCGGCGTTTCAGACGGCCACGCTGCGCCACGACGAGATCGGGCAGGTCAGCCCGCGTGCATGCTGCATGGGAGGGGGGCATGGGGGGGAAGGGGCATGGGGGGTGCAGGGGCCATGGCACGGGTGCAGGGGACAGGTTGAGTCAGGGGCAGAGGAAAGTGGTGAGGTGACAGGTCTGGTTTCGAAGGGGCACGGGTGACGGTGGTTGGGGTGGTGACGGGACATGGGGAGGAGGGGTGAGGGGGCATGGACACGAAGGGTTTGAGGCTGCACGGGTCCTGAGGGTGCACGGGTCCTGAGGGTGCACGGGTCCTGAGGGTGGACACTTGAGGGGATTGGGCAGGTAGCAAGTGAGCGGTGAGAAGCAGGTGGGCAGTTAGTTGCTGACGTGGTTGTTTTAATTTTAAACGATGCGTGGTGGCTGGGCATGTGTGTGTGGTGCGCGCATGGCATGGCATGGCATGGCATGGCATGGTGGCAGGAGATGCTGTTGAACCTGCTGCTGCGCAACTACCTGGCGTACAACCTGTACGACCAGGCTGACAAGCTGCGCTCCAAGGCTCTCCGCCCTGACTCCCACTCCAACCAGCAGGTGCCACTCCCACTCCAACCAGCTGGTGCCACTCCCGCTGTCTCTTTTGTTGTGAACTCGCTCGTTGCTGTGAACTCGCTCGTTGCTGTGAACTCGCTCGTTGCTGTGAACTCGCTCGTTGCTGTGAACTCGCTCGTTGCTGTGAACTCGCTCGTTGCTGTGAACTCGCTCGTTGCTGTGAACTCGCTCGTTGCTGTGAACTCGCTCGTTGCTGTGAACTCGCTCGTTGCTGTGAACTCGCTCGTTGCTGTGAACTCGCTCGTTGCTGTGAACTCGCTCGTTGCTGTGAACTCGCTCGTTGCTGTGAACTCGCTCGTTGCTGTGAACTCGCTCGTTGCTGTGAACTCGCTCGTTGCTGTGAACTCGCTCGTTGCTGTGAACTCGCTCGTTGCTGTGAACTCGCTCGTTGCTGTGAACTCGCTCGTTGCTGTGAACTCGCTCGTTGCTGCTCTCCACTGCCTCACCTCTTCTCCCTGCTCCCCCCTTGCTCTCCCCCATGCTCACTTCCCTGCTCTCCTCCCTGCTCCTCGTCGTACTCGTCTCTACATGCCATCCTCGCTCACCACCCCACACCCCCCTGCGAGCGGAGTGCAGTTGTGCAGGCAGCTGTACTACGCGGGGCGCATAGCGGCGGTGCAGCTGGAGTACAGCGCGGCCAAGGAGTGTCTGCAGCAGGCGGCGCGCAAGGCACCGGCGGCGGCGCTGGGGTTCCGCACGGAGTGCACGCGGTGGCACGTGCTGGTGCGGCTGCTGCTGGGGGAGATCCCCGAGCGCCACCTCTTTGTGGCGCCCGGCATGCGCTCCTCATTGCTGCCCTTCTTCCAACTCACCAATGTGAGGCCCTTCTTCCAACTCACCAATGTGAGGCCCTTCTTCCAACTCACCAATGTGAGGCCCTTCTTCCAACTCACCAATGTGAGGCCCTTCTTCCAACTCACCAATGTGAGGCCCTTCTTCCAACTCACCAATGTGAGGCCCTTCTTCCAACTCACCAATGTGAGGCCCTTCTTCCAACTCACCAATGTGAGGCCCTTCTTCCAACTCACCAATGTGAGGCCCTTCTTCCAACTCACCAATGTGAGGCCCTTCTTCCAACTCACCAATGTGAGGCCCTTCTTCCAACTCACCAATGTGAGGCCCTTCTTCCAACTCACCAATGTGAGGCCCTTCTTCCAACTCACCAATGTGAGGCCCTTCTTCCAACGCACCCACTGTGCACAGTTGGTTCTGTTGCTGGTTCAGCCATTTCCGTTGCATGTTTGAACAACGCCCTGCATGTTGAGTATCCAGCTCATGTCCGGGCACCCCCCATCAGCAACCCCATGATCAGTCACTGGCCTCCTCCACCTGCCATCCCTCCCCCCCTGGCCCCCTGTCTCCGCGTACCCCCCGGTGTGGCAGGCGGTGCGGGTGGGCGACCTGCAGCTGTTCCACTTGGCGGCCACGCAGCACGCGGCGGTGTTTGCAGCGGGGCACATGCAGAAGCTCATTGTGCGCCTGCGCCACAACGTCATCCGCACGGCGCTGCGCCGCATCTCCCTGGCGTACTCGCGCATCTCCCTCGCTGACATCGCCCTCAAGCTCCACCTCCCCCCGCCCACCGCCGTTGCTGACGTCGAGTGCATCGTGGCTAAGGTAGGTGGGGCGTGCTGCAGTGGCCAAGGTAGGTGGGGCGTGTATGCGATATGCAGTTGAAATCAGCGAAGCATGTTGTTGCAATGTGTTATCAGTGAAGCATGCTATGATGCAATGTGTTATCAGTGAAGCATGCTATGATGCAATGTGTTATCAGTGAAGCATGCTATGATGCAATGTGTTATCAGTGAAGCATGCTATGATGCAATGTGTTATCAGTGAAGCATGCTATGATGCAATGTGTTATCAGTGAAGCATGCTATGATGCAATGTGTTATCAGTGAAGCATGCTATGATGCAATGTGTTATCAGTGAAGCATGCTATGATGCAATGTGTTATCAGTGAAGCATGCTATGATGCAATGTGTTATCAGTGAAGCATGCTATGATGCAATGTGTTATCAGTGAAGCATGCTATGATGCAATGTGTTATCAGTGAAGCATGCTATGATGCAATGTGTTATCAGTGAAGCATGCTATGATGCAATGTGTTATCAGTGAAGCATGCTATGATGCAATGTGTTATCAGTGAAGCATGCTATGATGCAATGTGTTATCAGTGAAGCATGCTATGATGCAATGTGTTATCAGTGAAGCATGCTATGATGCAATGTGTTATCAGTGAAGCATGCTATGATGCAATGTGTTATCAGTGAAGCATGCTATGATGCAATGTGTTATCAGTGAAGCATGCTATGATGCAATGTGTTATCAGTGAAGCATGCTATGATGCAATGTGTTATCAGTGAAGCATGCTATGATGCAATGTGTTATCAGTGAAGCATGCTATGATGCAATGTGTTATCAGTGAAGCATGCTATGATGCAATGTGTTATCAGTGAAGCATGCTATGATGCAATGTGTTATCAGTGAAGCATGGGATTGGGAAATAATGATGCGGCTCTCTATCTCTGTCCCTCATGCTTCATTCACATCCTGTTCCGTTGCGTATGTGGGGCGGGGTGGCATGTTGGTGGTGGGTGAGTGGTGTGGAGTGAGTGGCAGGCGATTCGGGACGGGGGCATAGAGGCGGTGATTGATCGGCGGCAGGGGTGCATGGTGAGCAAGGAGGGAGGCGACATGTACACCACGCTCGACCCGCAGGCCGCCTTCCACACACGCATTGCCTACTGCCTCAACCTGCACAATGAAGCAGTCAAGGTCAGTCAACCGCGGTTAAGGTCAGTCAACAGTCAAGGTCAGTCAATTGCAGTCATTGTCAGTCATTTGTCAATGACAGTCAATGTGAGTGAATTGTAGTCAAATGCCAGTTAGCAGAAGCAGTCAGATTGAGTAACAGAAGCCAGAGTCAAAGTTCAGGTTTAGTGAACAACCGCCAGAATAAAGAAACCGCAGCCAGGTTCGCATAAAAAAAAATGGAGGTCAGTGAGGAGCAGTGAAGGCAGAGATGAGGTAGCAGTGAACGAGCATACACGTGCAGGTGCATGATATGAGTTGTGACTCCCCACACTGCCATGCACACTCCCCTTGGCCGTCCTCCAGGCCATGCAATTTCCTCCCAACACTCGTAAGGGCGAGGTGGATGCAGAGGAGAAGAGGAGAGAGAGGCAGCTGGCGGAGCAAGAGTTGGCGCAGCACATTGCCGAGGAGGGAGACGACGACTTCTGACACCACACATGCTGCATTCATATTCTCAACACCTCCTCATTCAGAAGAATGTCGTTCAGGCTCAATTGGCTGTACCTTGTGGGGTTATTGCACACTTGCAAGTTTGTTTCAACCACCGGTCTCGAATTGTCTCTCGAGTCTTGGTCAGTGTACGTCAACTGTGTGTCGCAGAATGGTGATGATGAGCAAATTTGGCAGAACCAATCAATGTTGATTCAAGTGTTATCGTACGGTAAATTAGGTGATATTGTGGCGATTTGATCAGCTAAATGTTAGGCGTGTGTTGCAGCGGAAGAAATTAACCTAAGATCAGAGTGAATTATTAATATTTAAGTTATTAATATAAAATGAATGAGATAATAAATACATGCAAATACATTTTTCTTATAAAAGAGTACAGGAAATCATGAAACGCACTAGACTAGCGATGTACTCTAAGGGGCACATTCCCTAATTTCAGCGAATCCCAACCGTGCTAGTCCATACCAGAGCCCTAGATATCAGCCTTTTTGCGCGGAGTCAGCATAAATTCAGGCCTTTTTTTTTACCCTAGGCTGATTCGAAAGTTCTTTAGCATGTACGGTACCTTGGCTGAATTTTCAGCTTTTGTTTACCGTCTGGCCCCGGATATAAGCGCCGTCCGATTAAAGGCGCCGGCGCTTCTATCTGGAGCATGGCGCTTATGGCCGATCCTCGATTAGAAGCGCACCCCTCTACATGTGCTAACTTATTAGGTATAAGCGCATGTGCTTTATCTACTACCGTATCTGATTTTCATTCTAATTTCATAAAACATGACATTTTTTAACAATTCCTAACAAGGGTTGTTTTACCCTATCAATTTCAAGGTTTATCATACTTTGAAACAGCTACTCATGTCAGACTACAGCCTACCATCTATCACAAAAGCTACCTACTCCTCGTCGTCAGACTCGGGCTCCAGGCAGTTGTTGCCAAAGAAGCCGTCAGCAATCATGTCGTCATCGACATCGACTTCACGAGTCAGCTGGCTTCGCCTGTGCGCCATGGCAAGCGAGTCCTCGCTGCCGTCAAGAGCGTTGCTGATGCCACAGGTGAGGAAGGCGCGCTTGATGAGGTCCGCGGGCACTGCCTTCCATGCGCGCGAGATCCACTCACTCCCATTCCCCCTCACTCCCTTCCCCCTCATTATATTTCCCCTCACTTATATTTCCCCTCACTCGTTTTCCCCCCACTTCTGTGAGTGAGGGGAAATGAAGTGAGGGGAAAGAGAGTGAGGGGGGATGGAAGTGAGTGGAAACGAAGTGAGGGGGGATTTCCTCTCACTCCATTCCCCCTCACTCACAGAAGTGGGGGGAAAACGAGTGAGGGGAAATATAAGTGAGGGGAAATGTAGTGAGGGGGAAGGGAGTGAGGGGGAATGGAAGTGAGGGGAAACAAAGTGAGTGGGATAGGGATGAGGAGGGATGGAAGTGAGGGGAAATTGAGTGAGGGGGAATTCAAGTGAGGGGGGATGGAAGTGAGGGGAAATTGAGTGAGGGGAAATTCAAGTGAAGGGAAATGAAGTGAGGGGGAAGAGAGTGAGGGGGGATGGAAGTGAGGGGAAATGAAGTGAGGGGGGATTTCCTCTCACTCCATTCCCCCTCACTCACAGAAGTGGGGGGAAAACGAGTGAGGGGAAATATAAGTGAGGGGAAATGTAGTGAGGGGGAAGGGAGTGAGGGGGAATGGAAGTGAGGGGAAACAAGTAAGGGGGACAGGGATGGAAGTGAGGGAAAATTGCGTGAGGGGGAATACAAGTGAGGGGGGATTCCTCTCACTCCATTCCCCTCCTCACAGAAGTGGGGAGAGAACGAGTGAGGGGAAATATAAGTGAGGGGAAATGTAGTGAGGGGGAATGGATTGAAGGGGAATGGAAGTGAGGGGAAACAAAGTGAGGGGGACAGGGATGAGGAGGGATGGAAGTGAGGGGAAACTGAGTGAGGGGGAATACAAGTGAGGGGGGATGGAAGTGAGGGGAAATTGAGTGAGGGGAAATACAAGTGAGGGGAAATGAAGTGAGGGGGAAGAGAGTGAGGGGGGATGGAAGTGAGGGGAAATGAAGTAAGGGGGGATTTTCTCTCACTCCCTTCCCACTCACTCACAGAAGTGGGGGGAAAACGAGTGAGGGGAAATATAAGTGAGGGGAATGTAGTGGGGGAAGGCAGAGAGGGGAATGGAAGTGAGGGGAAACAAAGTGAGGGGGACAGGGATGAGGAGGGATGGAAGTGAGGGGAAATTGAGTGAGGGGGAATACAAGTGAGGGGGGATGGAAGTGAGGGGAAATTGAGTGAGGGGAAATACAAGTGAGGGGAAATGAAGTGAGGGGGAAGAGAGTGAGGGGGGATGGAAGTGAGGGAAAATGAAGCGAGGGGGAATTTCTCTCACTCCATTCCCTTCACTCACAGAAGTGGGGGGAAAACGAGTGAGGGGAAATATAAGTGAGGGGAAATGTAGTGAGGGGGAAGGGAGTGAGGGGGAATGGAAGTGAGGGGAAACAAAGTGAGGGGAACAAGGATGAGGAGGGATGGAGTGAGGGGAAATTGAGTAAGGGGAATACAAGTGAGGGGGGATGGAAGTGAGGGGAAATTGAGTGAGGGGAAATACAAGTGAGGGGGAAATGACGTGAGGGGGAATTGAGTGAGGGGGGATGGAAGTGAGGGGAAATGAAGTGAGGGGGGATTTCCTCTCACTCCATTCCCCCTCACTCACAGAAGTGGGGGGAAAACGAGTGAGGGGAAATATAAGTGAGGGGAAATGAGATGAGGGGGAAGGGAGTGAGGGGGAATGGAAGTGAAGAGAAACAAAGTGAGTGGGATAGGGATGAGGAGGGATGGAAGTGAGGGGAAATTGGAGTGAGGGGGATACAAGTGAGGGGGGATGGAAGTGAGGGGAAATTGAGTGAGGGGAAATACAAGTGAGGGGAAATGAAGTGAGGGGGAAGAGAGTGAGGGGGGATGGAAGTGAGGGGAATGAAGTGAGTGGGGATTCCATTCACTCCATTCCCCATCACACAGGAAGTGGGGGGAAAACGAGTGAGGGGAAATATAAGTGAGGGGAAATGTAGTGAGGGGGAAGGGAGTGAGGGGGAATGGAAGTGAGGGGAAACAAAGTGAGGGGGACAGGGATGAGGAGGGATGGAAGTGAGGGGAAATTGAGTGAGGGGGATACAAGTGAGGGGGGATGGAAGTGAGGGGAAATTGAGTGAGGGGAAATACAAGTGAGGGGAAATGTAGTGAGGGGGAAGGGAGTGAGGGGGAATGGAAGTGAGGGGAAACAAAGTGAGGGGGACAGGGATGAGGAGGGATGGAAGTGAGGGGAAATTGAGTAAGGGGGAATACAAGTGAGGGGGGATGGAAGTGAGGGGAAATTGAGTGAGGGGAAATACAAGTGAGGGGAAATGAAGTGAGGGGGATTGAGTGAGGGGGGATGGAAAATTGCGTGAGGGGGAATACAAGTGAGGGGGGATTTCCTCTCACTCCATTCCCCCTCACTCACAGAAGTGGGGGGAAAACGAGTGAGGGGAAATATAAGTGAGGGGAAATGTAGTGAGGGGGAATGGAGTGAAGGAAATGGAAGTGAGGGGAAACAAAGTGAGGGGGACAGGGATGAGGAGGGATGGAAGTGAGGGGAAATGGAGTGAGGGGGAATACAAGTGAGGGGGGATGGAAGTGAGGGGAAATTGAGTGAGGGGAAATACAAGTGAGGGGAAATGAAGTGAGGGGGAAGAGAGTGAGGGGGGATGGAAGTGAGGGGAAATGAAGTGAGGGGGGATTTCCATTCACTCCATTCCCCCTCACTCACAGAAGTGGGGGGAAAACGAGTGAGGGGAAATATAAGTGAGGGGAAATGTAGTGAGGGGGAAGGGAGTGAGGGGGAATGGAAGTGAGGGGAAACAAAGTGAGGGGGACAGGGATGAGGAGGGATGGAAGTGAGGGGAAATTGAGTGAGGGGGAATACAAGTGAGGGGGGATGGAAGTGAGGGGAAATTGAGTGAGGGGAAATACAAGTGAGGGGAAATAAAGTGAGGGGGAAGAGAGTGAGGGGGGATGGAAGTGAGGGGAAATGAAGTGAGGGGGGATTTCCTCTCACTCCATTCCCCCTCACTCACAGAAGTGGGGGGAAAACGAGTGAGGGGAAATATAAGTGAGGGGAAATGTAGTGAGGGGGAAGGCAGAGAGGGGGAATGGAAGTGAGGGGAAACAAAGTGAGGGGGACAGGGATGAGGAGGGATGGAAGTGAGGGGAAATTGAGTGAGGGGGAATACAAGTGAGGGGGGATGGAAGTGAGGGGAAATTGAGTGAGGGAAAATCCAAGTGAGGGGAAATGAAGTGAGGGGTAAGAGAGTGAGGGGGGATGGAAGTGAGGAGAAACGAAGTAAGGGGGATTTCCTCTCACTCCATTCCCCCTCACTCACAGAAGTGGGGGGAAAACGAGTGAGGGGAAATATAAGTGAGGGGAAATGTAGTGAGGGGGAAGGGAGTGAGGGGGAATGGAAGTGAGGGGAAACAAAGTGAGTGGGATAGGGATAAGGAGGGATGGAAGTGAGGGGAAATTGAGTGAGGGGGAATTCATGTGAGGAGGGATGGAAGTGAGGGGAAATTGAGTGAGGGGAAATACAAGTGAGGGGAAATGAAGTGAGGGGGAGAGAGTGAGGGGGATGGAAGTGTGGGAAATGAAGTGAGGGGGATTTTCTCTCACTAAATTCCCCCTCACTCACAGAAGTGGGGGGAAAACGAGTGAGGGGAAATATAAGTGAGGGGAAATGTAGTGAGGGGGAAGGGAGTGAGGGGGAATGGAAGTGAGGGGAAACAAAGTGAGGGGGACAGGGATGAGGAGGGATGGAAGTGAGGGGAAATTGAGTAAGGGGGAATACAAGTGAGGGGGGATGGAAGTGAGGGGAAATTGAGTGAGGGGAAATACAAGTGAGGGGAAATGAAGTGAGGGGGAATTGAGTGAGGGGGGATGGAAGTGAGGGGAAA